CCCTCCCGCGCTAGCCTAAGGGCCACCTTAGCAAAGCGCATCCCAGGCTGCATAGCCGCACTACCCTACCCAACCATACCACACATAAACATGACACTACCCCCGGGGTTTACACAGACGAGCCGGCGAAGCAAGAAGAGCGCCAGAAGAAAGGGCCCTAGCCGGCGGGGCCCAGCCAGGACAAAAGGAGGTCCCACAAAGCGCCTACACCGGCCGCATTTGCGGTCGGGGTAGACGACGGATGGGGCCCACCTACGAAGGCTGTCCAGGCCTACACGAGATGAGGCAGGATAAAGAGGGATAATCCCCCTCGATCCCAAATCATTGAGGCCAATTTCTAGCCATAGAATAATGGCGTATTATTCTATTTTTTTATGGAACCGTGACTCTTTTGTAGAAAATTGTTCTATGGTCTAGAAAGAAATAGCAATACATTTTTAGGAAAAGAGATGCTAGATCACAGTTTGTAGGGAGATTTCCTATTTCTATTTAAGCTAGGTTTGCAATTTGCCCCAGGTATCTATTTTTCTAATTGTTATAATTTTCCTAGCAGTCCTTTTCAAAAAAAAATATTTTTTTCAACTTGTTCACTTAATTTTAGTGATTGTGGTACTTAATTATATATGTTGCGGATCTCGTGTGTGCTGATTTTGGAGTGAAGTAGTTTGTTTTGTTTTGTGCGTCAATTTGATAGATTTTCAGTGAAATTTTCGAATGACATGACATTTTAGTTATACAATGGCCTCAACTTCCAGTTTTGAGGCAAAAGTGTTAATGTCTAAGGGCAAAAGGGCCACTGCAGCTTATATTCACGCTGACTGCTCTAATGAAAGGAGCCCCCAACATCTAAATGAAGTCTTGGACAACCTCTTGAACCCAGCAAAAGCAATAGATGAATGGGAAACAATAGATTGGTGCAAATGGCTTATGGCTGGGGGCAGAACTCCAGATGAATTTTCTAGTACAGGTATGTACTATCAACAGATGATTATTTTACCTTGCCAATGGCCTTGCAATTTTTTATTCACGAAGCTTTATTAAAATGAGTCATTTTTTTAAATATAGAATTTTTAGGTTTATGAAATATTACATAGTACAAGTATTTCAAAATAATAAGGAGGTACATGAAACTAAAACGTTTATTATTTTTTTTACAAAATTTTAATTCAAAATACTTGTTTGGGGGCATTAGGTACCTACCTCAGTACCTACTATTATTTATTTATATAGCATACTCTAGGATCTACTGTACTCAAATTGTAATCGAGAAATATTTTGAATTTTTATTAACTACTTGTAACATTGAACAAAATGAAATTTTATATCATATGTGCATTTGTAATAACTAACTTTATATTTCTATTAGTTTTAACCTTAATGGATAAAAAATGATGTCAGTATAATTAATATACTTGCTGACCTCACTAGGGATAACCTAATATTTAAGTTTGTGTTGAATATTTATAGTAATGTTTTTCAAATTAAATTTTGTCTCAATCCTCGTTCCAATTTTTTTTATTCAATAAAATGTCAGAACAAACTATTTTATGAATTAAACATTGAATGTAAATATTCCAACAGTTTTAAATTCATACCATACCATACACATATTCTGATTTTTTTTATATTCATTTTCGTTAGGTTATTCCCTATGTACAGGTCACTTCACTCAGAATTCCTAAGGTTAAATCAGGTCTTCTATCAGACAAGTCAAAGTAAGGGCTGACGCTTTCATATTTCATAGGCCGTCACGATATCCAGAGGGTAATATGATCGGCCCTCTGAAATCTAAGAAGTTACACATTTATCATTATTATTTACTACAAATAATACTTTTACTACCCCATTATAACAGTCTAAGTAACAAATTGCCTCTTTTTGAGGCATGCTTTCTTAGATCTTGATGATGTTGATCGCACTGCCCCCTGGCTGCAGATGACATAACTTGACTATCATATGATTATTATAATAAATCTTGTGTTAATTTGTCTCGCATGTAATCCGTGACAGATTACTTAAATCAAATTCTGTGAAATAAAAAACAGAAAGTAAGTGTATGTACTGAGGTAGGTACACTGCCGGCCCTTTGAAAGTGGACAATATATTTTTCTAATGTGATGTGGTCTACTTCCTATTATGACAAGTTTTTATATGTCAGTGTCATTAGTAATTTGCTTGGTAATTCAAGATGCCACGTTTAACGGAACCAGAGAGAAAGTGAGAGCTATAACTTTACTTCAGAATGATTGGTCATTGCGGATAATCTGCATGTATGCAAGAACAGCATATTTAAACTCAAAGAAAAATGGATTGCAGAGGGTCACGTACGTTATGTTCACGGAGGTGCTCGTCGAAAAGTAAGCACCACCTAAGAATAAATCCTTTTGACATGGCAGTAGTGGCATTTTTTGAGACGAATTTTCCTGGATCAGTGCGAACTGAAAAATTCGGAGCTGAAGAATTATGTGGCCGCAAATACAGTTGCTTTGACTCCCCAGTATAAAGAACAGAGATTGGAGTTTGCAAGACAATTTGCAGGAAGTCCAGACAACTTTTGGGAAAATATTATATTTGTCCGTGTCTACCCACCAGCGATTATAAGATATTCGGAGCCTTATGTGAAACCCACACAGCGCAGCAATAGATTCTCCATTAACGTTTGGGCTTGGATAAGCCAAAGTCCTGATGTTTGTTGTGACCATGCTGTATCCTCAAAATTTCACTTTCAAGCAGGATAATTGTGCAATTCACACCTCAAGAGTTGCGTCAGAATAGTTCATTGATAACAACATCGATGTCTTACCTTGGCCCTCAAAGTCCTGGGGATATATGGTGAAAAAAATTTACGGCAGAAACTTCCGTCCAGTTAACGTCGAAGAACTTTGGGAGGCAATTGAAAACGCATGGGATAACATCACTGAGGATTATAACAAGAACATTAATTTTATCAATGCCATGTAGATTGCAGTGTTATAGACAAAAATGGTGCTTGGACAAAATACTAACTTTACGAATCGGGTTTTTTTGACGACGAAAAGTGTTTGATTTTTAGATTTCATTGACGGCGAATGAATGGCTGTTAGAGTGTATAATATATTTCAGTATTGGAAAAATAAATAATTTGCTACCTAATTTGGATTTGTTTTGCTCACTAGAACTAGTATGATAGACACACATTAAATTTGACTTAATGACAGCCGATTTGAACCTCACATTTTCAAGTCAGTTTCACAAAGGCCTATTATAGACAATTTGCTTATAAGAGTCGTCCATTTTCAAAGGGCCAGCACTGTACATTAGTAAATTTCCATAAATAGGTATAATGGTTGTTTTAGAATTACTTATGTTCTTTCTAGTGCATTTTTTTAACATTTTTTAAATGCGTTCTTTTGAATAAAAAAGTTTCTTCTGATCCCCTGAGGTTTTCTGGTTATGATCCATCAAAGTAGACTGGTAGATAGGTGTATGAAAAAAACTTAAATGGACAAAGTTGTTCAGAATTTAGAGCTTATCAACATTCCGCTGAGAAAATTGTTGGATTTTATTTAGAAAAAAGTGAAAATCTTTTTAAAAATTAGCTGTAACTCCTTTATTTGTAGTCATGCAATTTGTTTGATATTATAGTATATTAACAGTTAATAATAATAATAATAATAATAATAATAATAATAATCTTTATTTTCTATAGATTTACCTACTGTAAATATGAGAAATTGTCAAGCGTAAATGTAAAGGTCGCTCGAACCAGGATGCACTAATGTCATTTTGTAGCAATATTATTGAGTCAATCAATGAAAACCAAAAAACCATCGGCATATTTTATGATCTCTCGAGAGCCTTTGATGTCATTAATAATACTCACTTACTCAATAAACTTGAGAAATATGGTATTTGTGGCCTACCGCTATTGTGGATTTCATCGTATCTACGCGATAGAAGCCAAATTGTAAGGATTAAAGATGGGAGTGACGTTTATTTATCAAAAAAGTTTTCTGTGGACACCGGGGTACCACAAGGGAGTGTATTAGCCCCAACTCTATTTATATTATTTATAAATGACATTCCCCTAAGACTTGGGGTCACTTGTTCTAGCTCGTTATTTGCAGACGACACATCTTGTTTAATTAACTCAAACAGAGAGCGTGATTTATGTAAATTATCGGAGGAATGTGTTGCTCAAATGGAACAATGGTGTTATCAAAATGGCCTAGTGCTGAATTTGACAAAAACAAGTTTTATAAAATTTTCATCTATTGGTACACGGGACGACTATAGCTTATTAATTAAGTCTTCAACGGGAAGTTTACTGCAAAATAATGTTGTTAAGTTTTTGGGACTGCACCTTGATAATCACCTTTCATGGGATTTTCATATAGATGGAATTCTGAAAAAATTAGCTACAAAAAATTATGTTATTTGGAGTATAAAAAAAGCCTCTATTTAGAAATTTTGAAACTGTACTATTACGGTTGCATTGAATCTGTACTAAATTATGGAGTTATCTGTTGGGGGTGCAGTAGTAGTTTATATAAAGTTTTTATTATGCAAAAAAGAATAATCAGAAATATGTTCAATTTAAAACGTAATAGTTCCTGTAGATCTTATTTTAAACAAAATGGAGTTTTAACTTTATTCTTTGTATATCTTAAATTGCGTCATTTATATAAAAACAAATTTAGAAAAATTCCCGAAGAGGTGATCTGAATCCATACGAATTAAGAAATTCAAACATACTACACATACCGTACTGCAGAACTACCCAAGTCTCCAAATCGTCTGCAAAAATGTCAGTCAAATTATATAATCATCTGCCTCATGATATCCAAGATATTTCAAATATTATACCTTTTAAATTCGAAGTAAATTAACAGTTAATTTACTTCTCTTTTTTTTAGAGAAGAACCAGTCAGAGAATAGTTTACCTAGAACTCAAAATTTGTTTTGTTCATAACTTTTTTCTCTTGCTAGACATCGCAGAAATTTAAACATTATTGAAAAGAAAAATAATAGAAAAAATTATGTACTGTTAATTCAAGTCGATAAATGTAACCATTTAGCAGGAAATCGCTATTAAAGTGTTATTAAACATCAAATTTTCAAATTCATTGTCAGCTTATTTTTCCACAATGTTATTACAGAGTCGAAAAAAAATTATTATAGTGAGAAATGAAACATACCTGCTTTATAGAATTATCAAAAATTTGATGTTTAATAATACATTAATAGCGATTTCCTGAACGGTAACATTTATCGGTTTGAACAAAGAGTACATAAGTTTTTCTGATACTGGTTCTCTTTTCAATAATGTTTATTTTTCTGTGATGTCTAGCAAGAGAAAAAAGTTATGAACAAATTTTGAGTTCTAGGTAAAGTGCCCTCTAGCGGTGCATAATGAAACTTTTCTCTAACTGGTCCAATAGAGCTTCATCTACTTAGTGGGTGTGCCAAATGAGAGACCAATAGAACTTGAATTAAATAAGTTATTTATAGAAAATAGAAAAATAAAAAAAATAACTTTGACAAGCTGTAACTTGCAAACAATTGACAATTCGAAAAAATGTTCATTACATACTGCTATTATTTTAATCCGTAGAATCACCTCCTGGAGTTTCCTGACGGACTTTCATAATACCCTGTAGGGTGATTAACCTTGGGGAATGTGTTTCTCTTTAAAACAACTAAAGATAATTGCGAGGACAATTGGATCACTAATTGTCACATAAATTTCATTCATTCTGCAAAACAACTAGATACTTTCATTTAGATGAAAAAAAGTTTGAATAAACACTTCTCTACCCCGATCCATTTTTGTTAGTATACATGGGCCTGGTAAAAAAAAATAGATACCTAATAGAGAAAAATTATACAACTATAAATTATTTGTAACACCAAATCAGGGGTGAAAAAGAAATTACTAGACCAGCACCAGACAGTGCGAATATATAACTAATTTTTTTTTCCTACATT